TGAGTTATAATTCAGAGTCTGTAAGAAGAAGAAGATTCCATCGTAATCCCCAGATGTGGTTATCACTCTAATCCCTGTCTCTCTTTTCTGGGCTCTGATACTTTGGAGGAGACTTGTGGTCCATACTGATGGCAATGATCAGATATGCCTCTTTTCACAATTTAAAAGTATCCATGGAATTCTTGAATACAATTTTGACTATTTCATTCTGTAAATTAACCTCTTGAGCTTTGTAGTATTCATTTTTATAAAATGTTCCAATAAATACATATAGTGAAACATTTTCCATGTTTCATATTACTAAAGACATAGGTTTAAAGTTAGGGGAAAATCCATATACTTTAAATATTTTCTATGTACAGTTTACCTATTATAATCAATGACCTAAGTTCTTCATTATAAAGATAATATATGTCCATGACATGTTTAAAAAAGTAAAAGCATATGGACAAAAAGGAAATAGAAAATATTAGTGCTTTTCTTAGCCACTCCTTCTTCCCACTCAGATAATCTCTACTGTAGCTTTCTAGAAAAGTATCAAGTGCCTTCCATAGGTGCATTTTACAGTGTTTGACACAGGTATACACATATCAAGGATCTAAATGGCTGATTTGAGGTATTGATTTCTGACTTCATGTTCTGTAAACATTCCTTATCAGGTACACACAGTTAAGGCTACATAACTTTAAAAGAAAGAGGAAAACTAAAACAAAGGTCATAATAGAGTGAAAAGGCAACTAACCTTTTTCCACCTCATTCAGATTAGCAGCTGGCAGCGACAAAGACAGAAGAGACAAGAGACTTTTTACATCGCGATACAACAGTAGAGCACAGGAAGCCAATGGCAGCATTAACAAAGAAGCCAGGGTGAGGAGGCAAACAAAAGCGAAGCTTAGATTTCTTACCTACAGCTGGGCCAAAAGCATACACATGGAGGGAAAGGAGGCAAAGTATAAACGCCATCACAGGGAGCTACAGGTCTGCATCTAGACCAGAGGAGGTGACACCGGTTGCTTGGCTATTTAAGATGCACAGTGAATGGTTTGTGTGTGGGCATTAGAGATTTGGAAAAACAAACAAACAAAAAAACCGATATGGCATAAAATGGAGAAATTAAAATGTTCTGAATATTTTCCACAACATGGATTCTGAGACTTTATGTTTCCAACTTGTATGGAAATCTTCTTTTTTCCTAATTCATTTAATACTAGTAAGCAATATGAGGGCCTAAAATATTATCAGCGTTGCATCATAATTGTATGCGGTCCCATGAGGAATGAGTTACTTAAGACACATTAGTCTTGACACAATAGATCCAGATCCAGGGTTCTTTTCTGTTGTGAAACATGAAAAAACACATTGTTCAATTCAACACTATATAGCTCTAGAGCCCAAGAAAAGGTGTCCATATTTCATGTTTTTGTTGGTTTTGAACTTGGCCAGTTTAAGAAATTTCTTGAATATTTTTGTCAAAAAAGGGGCTTGTTTTCAGGAAGAAGATATTGAGTTAGAAATATAAAAAACAAGCTCCAAATCTCAAGCTAAAATTAAAACTGTAGAATCAATTCTTAGATTATTTAACAATTCCAAGTTCTACTTTCCCAATTCTTAGAACAGTGATTTTAATTTATAATTTAACCTTTCAAAAATTAATCTTGCCAGAAGAATACTCCTCAGTCATGCACTGTGCAATTAGCTGGACAGGGGATGGGCTGAAGTGAAGAACAGTTTTGATGATGAGGGTGAGGACAGAATGACAGCAGTGGCCCTTAAGATTTATGTTATAAATCTATTCAGGAAGAAAAAGCAAGAGTTTTCTCTTCTAATAAACCATTAACTACTTACTGTGATATTTTGGTTACTCAGTATAGAAATAACGTTTAATAAATCACCCAATGGTGGTCACTTTCCTTAGAGTATTTCTTTTTTCTTTCTTCCTTTTTAAATTTTTTTTTTTTTTTGTGTGTGTGTGTGTGTGTGTGTGTGTGGTGCTGGGGATTCAACCCAGGGACTTGAGCATGTGAGGCAAGCGCTCTACCAACTAAGCCATATTCACAGCCCTCTTCTAATTCAGTTTATGGCCCACTCATCATGTCATCATTTCTCTGCATGATTATTTTCAGATCTCTGGATTTTCTCCATTGACAACATTATGCTCATTTTAACTTCACATAGGTGACAATGCAAACATTGACACCATAATAATTCATGAGCTTTTTCTATGAAGTTTTATTGGTAGTACCTATTGGTACCTAAACAGAGTTTACTTTCTTATTGTGTGTGTTTGGCATGCAGAGTGAAAAATCTTCAAAGCAAAAAGCAACTTGTGACTCAAATGATTTTTAAACAATGACAACATTATTATATTCCTTGAGCATAGCAGGGTTTCTGTTCCCAGATCTCATGCTCATTAATCAGATTCCAAAATTAAATTTAACACAATATAGTTACATTATAAGAAAATTCCTCCCTAACTGAAGACTTGGATGAAACAGGATACAAAACTCTAGAGTCTGATTTATACTTTCCTATAATTAAAGGCCACTTATGTGCCACTGATTTCAAAATGCAGATGGTTGTTTGATATTTTTGAAATGAGCTCATTTCACATATGCACAAAAACACTACAGTTAAAAGATGAGTTATAAATTTTCCCCATTTAGATATCTTCTCTACTGCCAAACTGTCAAAATTTCATGGCCCACAAGACCCTGTCCAAGGTTATAATGGTAATATCTTCATGTTTTGTATGTCATGCACTTTCTCTTGAGTTCAATATTTTTCTTGATCCTCTGCCCAAATTAAAGCAATCCAATTTTTGTAATAGTTATAAGCTAAAAAGTCTAAAGGGGTTTCAGTTCCTCTGCAGAGACAAACCTCTTAATGGGTAGTAATGGTAGGTTCTTGCGTGACAGCTTTCATAAATGTCACATTTTGGCTAAGAAGTGGTTTTGCTAAGCTTTGGGTTATTATGATATGTTTTAAAGGAAGAGATCTGATGTAGTTGGGAAAGTCACATTTCTCAGAGGAAGGTGCACTGAATAGAACCATTCAAGATGGGAGGACATGTGTCAAAGACGTGTAGGATGAGAGCCTAGGAAATGAAAGGTGAGCAGGTAAGACAAAGACAGAAAAAGAAAACAAAAGAATAAGGAATAGCAAAGCTAAAGCCAAAGCAGGGGGACCCCTTCAAACCAACTCAGTTTCTACCACCTTATTTAAATTATCATAAGAAAGACATACAAGAACCTGAACACAGCTGTGCTCCAAGCCCAGATTTCATGAGGAAGGGAAAATATTTATATATATTCATTCATCCATTCTTGGTTTCCATGCATAAAAAGGCATAGATAGCAAAATTATGCTTGCAATGCTTGGGTCTAATTTGTCTGGTGGAATCACAGTAGGTTGGTTTATAGAGGTCTCCAAGATTAAGTGGGTTCTTAATCACTTTTCAAAATGATCAGAACAATGACAGAAAAAGAGACCTATTTTTGTCCTAAGACAGTATTAAGTAACAGATTTTAGTGCAAACATTGGGTTTTTACACATATCAAATTAGCCCTCAGGTTATCAGAGTAGCTGTAAGGGCTCCAGAATCTGTGGCCACAGGGTCATGCCAAGTATGAGAGGTATAAGTTTTATTGGTGGAAGGTGAGAGCTTTGTAGCACCTAAACTCTTTCAAACCCCTGTACTATAGGTGCATGTTTAGATTTATTTCCTATCCTTATCCCGTGGTTAATACAAAATATCAAAGAATGCTCAAATTTTGCCTGCTAAGCAGTATAAACACTCTATCCATGTAATAGAACAATTAGTGATACAGCATGCTCACATTTCTTCTGAAAACAGTATAACTTTACATGACATAAGGTGCCTTACTCCTATTTAAAAGACCTGAATCACAGAAAATGCAGCTTCAGAGACCCTTAAACAGATCTGAGCTGTTAAAACTGAACTTCATTATTGTATTTAGCAGTTTTTCATCATGAAAGATACTTTCCCATCAAGAAAGGTATTGATAAAAATTTAAATTTCAGTGGTTTTCCAACAAACCCTATGAAAGTTAGCTATATAGAGGTGTGTGCATCTTCAATGTTTAGAGATGTTAGTCTTAGCCACATCTATAGATATTTCAGTCTCTGATTTTCTTAACTATGTATTGGATTTAATGGAAATATAATTAATAAAAATATCCAGATAAATGGAAATGTTAGCTTTCAATAGACTAGTAGAATCTACTTCTTTATTTTTTTAAAAAATATAATATGGAATTATTTTTCTCCATTAAATATAAGAGATTAAGGAACAAAAAGACAACTATGAATTTTCTTATTCATAGTCACAAATATCAGTCAAACAGATGCTCTGTCAAAATAGATAGGCCATAAACTTGATGTTGATTTTATAGCAAATTGGTTTAAATTGAGTGGAAGTTTAGCAATTTCTATAGTCATATGAGATTTATCACCCACAGAGACAAAATGCCAGAAAAAGGGTGATGGCTTTGTAAGAGTATCCCAAATGTTCAGTCTCTTCCTGATTTTCATCTTGAAGGACATGGGTCACTAGAAGCAAATACTTGCTGGTAAAAAAATAAACATAGACGAAGTATCTCAAATGTTTAATTACATTTTGGCTATTTTAAAAATTCTCTCTTTTCACATATGTTTTGGTGAGTTGGTTTGTATGGGGAAAATGACTTAAATGGAAATGCTATTGAATTGTGGGATAAGAACTTTCTACATGAAAAATTCTTTTTTTGCTGCAGAGCAATGACTTTATAATGGACTCATGTTGCACTGAGCTTGCTGGGTCATATATTTGATTGTCTGAAACCATCTTAGTTCCTTCCATTATTTACATTATATCTAATTTACAAAACACCTACCAGTTATAGAATAATAGAATGGATTAGTAAATAAATAGGAGCATAGTGCCAATGATGCTTTCAAAGAGACACAGTGATTGATGGCATAATGTTTCCCAGTGTTCATACCTGTGTACTCAGGTGGGCAAAGGCATGTGTAGTTATTGATCCCATCAACACATGTAGAATTATTTTCACAGTCATTGTCTTCACAATCATCAACATTGACTTCACAATTTTCTCCTTCAAAACCATCAGCACAGATACACCTGAATATCAGGGCAGAAAGACAAAATAAACACAAAATCAATTCACATCTTTTTTGCTGGTTTTTAAATCCATGTGATCTAAATATTGAAAAAAAACATAAATACATTTGTAAATTATAGGGCTCATAAAATTATAAGAATTTGTTTTTTAAAAGTTTTGAAATGACATGTTGTAAGTATTGATTTAATGTAATATCAAACAAACCAGAAAACATTAAAAAATAAAACTTATGTTGGCTTCAAGATGGTAAGTGGCTTCAGGGTCTTAAAAACCAATATTTCCAGGTCTGATACAGAAATAAAGTTTGACTCCACAATCATAGATATCTTAATTCCAAGTTTTTCTCTAATAGAGTAATTTATGCTTCTTTACTCAGAAATGAGGAGGAACTAATTCTGATTCTTAAAATCACATCATCTCCTACTCTATGTGAAATGTTTAAGATGTCTGGCAACAAAAAAGAAATGTAAAAATTAAGTTTTGACTTCCTTGCAATTACAAAATATGAACATTTTCTCTAAGACAATAAATGCAATTTACCACATAAAATATTGTATATTTAATCTCGAGTAATATCAGTATGAGCTTTGAGTAAGGTGTAGATGGATAAGAGAAAATTTTGTAACAGAAATGAAGTATTTTTCTTCTATAAAGTGACAATTCTAACAAGTGTTAGTAGTAGATTAGCATTCTAAAGTGAAATTCTTAATGTCACTTAATGGACTCTTTCATAATTCATGAAGTACATCTGAAGTAATTGTACTGTATGATTAAATAATTCCAGATTTAAAATGTTCACAGCATGATTGTCTATGTATATTGTGGCCTGGAAATGAATCATTAATTTTCTGTTTCAGTGGGACCTACATCTCATCATTGCACACTGTCTGTTAAAGCAATAAGCAAATCATCAGATGAATGCAGGACTTGCAGTAAGGGAAGAGTTGGCTATTAATTAGCATAATTGAGCCAACACTTTGTCTTGCCCTAATCTGACTTGATTAATCATATGTGTATGTGCATGTTTTTAAATTTTTGATTTGTAACATCCTAAGCTGAGAACCCTGTGGAGTCTCCATTTGTTTTTAATATTGCAGTATACCTCTGGGAGGGACCAATACATATTGTCTTTATTCTGTTTTTCTTTTTTAAAAGAATGCCCTTGGGTTTGAAAAGGAAGATGCCTGTTTTCTTAGTTATTCTTGCTCCAATACTTCAGACAAAGGAAATCACAGCCTCATGACTTACCAGAATCCATCTTTTCCCCCTTCTTTCAAATGGCAAGTTCCTCCATGTTTACATGGGTTACTGATGCATGCATGAATTGGCACATCGCAATCCTGCCCCTGTAGAAGGAATGGCCAAGTTTTAGGTTGAATACAAATGAGGACATCCACAGCGCACAGAGAAAGCATAGTAGAATTATGGAGGCATGCCAAAAAAAAAAAAAAAAAAAAAAGAAAAGAAAAAAAGATATGTTTCCAGACTGTGGCTCTCACGACAGCATCTACTTACCTTGAAGCCATAGGGGCAGGTACATCGATAAAAGTCAACTGGATCATTGTTACAGGTGCCATCATTTTTACAGGGATTTGATAAGCAGGGATTACACTTAGCTAGAATGTTGACATCAACAGGGCCTAAAAATTAATTGAAAAATAGGAGAAAGAGATTTTTTTCAATGTTAGTTCATTTAAAATCATTTCTACTCTTTAATGTAACAGTAAATTTTGGATACAATTATAGGTCATGTATCTATATGTGTTTCCCCAACAAATTGAAACAAGGAATCAGCATAATCAGGTGTTCAAACATGCAACACATGGCTGTGATAGTTTTGGGTCATATCTGGACTCTGGATTGATAGTTTAGGGGGTTTGTGTCTAATGTTAATGACATCAACATCACAGGGTAAATTCCCTTATGAGTTCAAAGTTTATGTGGATGCATTTCATGGTAACTGCCTACATTTCAGTTTTAGCCAGTTTCATGGAAATGCATGCTATTAGTCTCAGAGAGGACCACGAATGTAGTGATGGGATATGAGAGTTTTATGAAAAAGTAGAAATATATCACTATAATTAAAAGTATAATAGAACGCACATTCCCAGATAGCACTAGCTTGGTATTGTTACTTTCACACAGGAGATACAATCTGTGTTCTGTGATCTTGGTGAGCTGTTTGGGTTTTTTGGTTTTGTTTTGTATTGTTTTATGTGTGTGCTAGAGGTTGAAATTTGGGCCTCACACATGCTAAGCCATGCTTTATCACTGGCTATACCCCCAGCCTCACTGCTACTATTATACATATAGAAATAAAGTAAAAATGTAGTCTCCATTACATTCTCCCTTGCATCCTTTTAATTCAGTTTGTTAGTTCTTTAGCACAATAGATAATGGCTGAGATTCACATTTTCCTCTCCAAGAAAAATAAATATCATTAAAATGATCTATACTTGCAGTCTCACATTTTTAAGTTTCATGATCCATAGTAGGCCTAGATGAAATGCAACTAGTTTCCCATTATTTGCACTTATTTGATAAATGGCTAATAATGCTGAAAATGAACTATTCTCCATAAAATTATGTTCCATTGATGCTACTTTTTTACATTTGTAAAAGCTCATTAGCTTTCTTTTAAGAAGCTGTTTCTGACTAGGATTATGGAAAAGTGATATCTCTATACATAAAATAGAAATATTTTATAAAAAATTCATTGTATTGTTGTTACCAATGATCTCTTTGTAGCTCTTTATCTTCATTGGAACGAGCAATAGTAAATTCAGTCCTGCATGTCATTACACACAATTCCTAACAAAGTAGTTTGGATAATTATTGTGAATATATGTTGAGCATGCCCCCAATCCTTATTATCACTGACATAACCTTCTAATGTAACTTCACCAAAATACTGTATGATTTCTGCTTATTTAAGCTACCTTTCATGAAATCACTCTACAGATTAGAGCATATGTTTGTGAGTTATGCAAGAGAAAGTAAATTTACATAGTGGTTGTGGAGTTCATCACCATGGGAAATACCAGTACTTATTCAAATAACAATTTTGAATTAAAATCCATGAAAAAGAGAGTGCTTTGTGTTGTTTTTCTACTAACAATACTGAACTAAAAAGGAAAACCCTGAGTTATATTTACATAGAAATTCCTGTTTCTTTTCAACATTTGGAAATGGATGACAGTTATTGGGATGACAGTGTTAATGGGAAGGGTGGTAACTGCTTCTAGTGATACCTCACTCACTAGGGACTACCATATCAATACCAGTATCCCTTCCACTTTTTTCTTGGTAACCAAAACAACTTAGTTCAGTCTCTGTATCAAAATATAGTTTGGAAATTACTGGAATTAATTCTGAAGTGGGCCTCATGGAGTTCAATTTCTTACCTCCCCCATTACTTATCAACTATAGAACAAAAAATTCCACTTATCAGCATATTGGAGAAATTAAAGGTGGGAATTAGTTCAAACAGTTAATTAAATTAGCATAACATCTCACAATAAATGGCTTTGTGTTTGGTAAAATTCTATTTAGAGTCAGTAATAGCAAAAACATATCTAATTATTTGAGAGAGAAGAAAGAATGGAACTCAGAACAAAGGTACGGGATGAAACCTTTGTGAAATGCAAGCAAAACATCAGGTCAGTATGTGCAAGCATGTGAACATTCATCTGGCTGTATCCCAAGACCTTGAGGAAAAATGTTTTTTGGTCTTTCTGTGCTTTCAAACTTGTTAAGTCTATGATTGAGTAGAAGAGTTCAGGGCTGGCAGTTTTCACGTTCATCCTGTGCAATGAGATGCCTTTCAAAAATTAAGTTTAAGTATTTAGATAAGAAGCTAGAGATAGTGTTGGGCAGAGGACATGGATATACCTTGAAAAACTTAATAAATCAATAGGTAACAAAACTGCTGGGATGAAGGAATCTTTGTCCATTTTACCAGAGAATCTATAATTTTATTTAGTAGATGTCCACTGAACCAAATGACTAATAAGCAATATCTAATTTGTCCATTTTTTCCTAGGAACAAATTTAATTTCCTACATTACTAATTAAGCTGAATTATTTTCATATTGAGAATTTGTACATGTATATGAAAGAAGATTTTTGTCTCTTTGTATAAATATTCAGTGTAGTTGAAAAATCAGGGTAATAAGCATTTTCACATTGAAAGGCTACTCTGACAATTTGTTAAACATGCCGAACTGTTTTGGGGGCACTGGATTTGGGAACACAGTAAAATATTGAGTTCTAACTTCAGTTAGTAAAACAGACTTCTAGAGCTGGCATTCTATTTGCTCCTCCTTTCTGATATTTTTCTTTAAAATCAGTTCTTCAAAGATAATTTATTTCTATTACTTGAATTTGAATTGAGGAATGCAAAAGATGATTGTAGGTTGTATAAATTCCAAATGTACATAGCAGAATTCTTTTGTATCTCCAAATACTTACAATGATGTGTGTTTTTTTGTATATATATATATATATATATATATATAGTTTTCAAAATTTTCAACCATCCCTGGAGTCCTTGTGTGTGTGTGTATGTATGTGTGTGTGTGTATGTATGTGTGTGTGTGTATGTATATATATATATTAATTATATGTATATATATATTAATTATATGTATATATATATTAATATATATATATACACACACACACACACACATACATACACACACACACAAGGACTCCAGGGATGGTTGAAAATTTTGAAAACTATATAGGAACTATTAAGAACATCATGGGAATGGAAGCGGTTATCAAGACATAATTAACTTCTGGTGTACCAGAACCCAGGGTTAATGATTTTCATATTGTTGAGGAATATAATCATGATTTGGAAATTTGGTGTGAACAGCCATTAAAAGAAACAGAATAACTTGAGGAAGCAGGGGAAGTTCTTTTGGTTCTGGCATTGCTGCTTGGAAGGGAAATGTAATTTTCAAGCCTTTTCCTTTTATAAAGCTAACTGTTTCCAAGAACGGTTCAAATATTGTCAACAAATTAGTTTTTGTGCAATGGGCACCATGGAGAAGAAATCTCATTTCCAGAAGATGGTTGTGTACTAGTGTTGCTGAAATGAATACGGCTGGAGTAGGGTACCTGGATTGATGCAATAGTTGGTCCTGACTTAAGAAAGCATGTAACATCAGCTCCATGGATATAGGTGTGTTTAGTTTAATAATTCAAAGGGAAATGAGAAGAAGGTTTGGTTCACAGTCTGTTTCTGTCAATTACTTTAATCTTTAATGAACAAACTGCTGGACTTCAAATCCATTAAGGTTTGTAGGCAGACTTGCTTACTTGACTCAAATCACTAGCTATGCACCTAACTCCAATATTGCCACCCACTGAGAGTTGTATATCACTATGATTTATTGCCGAAAGCTCCAAACAAAAACTTCTAACCACGCTCCTGACTCTCCCTTAATTCTGGCATCCCCCAGAAACATGAATCCAACAACATAATTCTCTAGCTTTGCCCTTAGTGCAGTCTGATGTAGAACAAAGACAAAAAGACATGTAGAGAATATCTGATGTTGGTCATAATGAGCCAAAAGGAGACTTTTATTCAAGACCAGTGAGTCTATGTTTCACTTGCTATTACTGCATTTCTTAAGCATTAACAGCAGAGATATATTTGTTAACATTCTATTGTTATTTATCAAATAATTATTGAGGATCTACTTTTTGCCAGGCACCAGGTTATGTTTGGGAGGATCAAGGCCAAAAAAAAAATGCCTGAGTTCCTGGAAAAACTTACTGTTCAGCAGTCAAGACACACATGTATCAATTAGAGAAAGAATGTGGGAAATGAGAAGGCAATCTTACAATACTTGTTTTTAGATTCTACAGACCATTAAGGCAAAGGAATCCACAAAGTGAATGGAAGGATGCGTTTGAAGTTCATAATGAAAGTCATGGCTAGATAGTTGAGCAACAGACTGAAATCAATCAAGAATGTAATAGGGCCAAGGACAGAATTACACGTGTCTACATTAAAGACTGTGTTAAAAAGGAGATGTTGGCAATCGGAACAAAGAAAGAGGAAACTATAATGTATATAAAGGAGCTGTAGCCACCATTGCCTAAAATGAAGAGAGAGCCAATGGTGACTGAAAAGAAGCCATTGAATTTAGAAACATGCAAGTTGTTGGAGTCCTCATAATAGTTTCAGTTGAGATACAGATGGGCACCAGATGATGGGGGTTAAAATTCTATGAATTTGCATTGCATAAAAGGTTACATGTGACTCCTTTAGGATCACCAGGCTTGATCATTGACTCCAGTTTAAATGTGATCTTAGACCAATAAATGAACTTTTTATGTTTAAACATAAAAGAACAATACTTATTTTATGGAATTATAAAAAGAGAATATGGATGTGAAATGTTCAAAACTGAATGTATAATTGTTGGTTTTCTTGACCCTATTAAAACAAATGTCAGTTAAAAATTTCCCAGTTCAAAATCTTAAAACATATAATGAAAAATAGTCCCTGTTTATTTTTTAAACAGTGGTGCTTTTGATATATAACTATATAACTATATACTTTTGATAATTATATATATAGTATATATATAACTATATACTATATATATAATCTGAATTTAGC